AGGTAATTATGCCAGTCTAGGCTACTGCCGTCTTTCCTGTATTCCCCAAGAATTGTTCTCTAAAGTGTCCCAGAATTCTTTATCGTGTGATGGTTCCACCGCTGAGTAGTGTCAGCAGAGGGCAACATGGTACATTTGTTGCTGTTTTTCCCATCTTCTGCTGAGGGTGTCAGTGCCCATGAGGAGAAGATAGCTCAGTGGTTTGAGCAGTGGCCTGCTAAACCCAGGGTTATGAGCTCAGCCCTTGAGGGGGCCATTTAGGGATCTGGGGCAAATCTGTCAGGGATGGTACTTGGTCCTGCCATGAGAGCAGGGTACAGGACTTGATGACCTCTCAAGGTCCCTTCTAGTTCTGTAAGATGGTCAAGATTTCATGGTAGTTTGGAAGAATGGCTCACAAGGGCAGGATGCCAGGCAGCTGGAGAGTGTATCATGGAACCCACTGGTTGTGCTCAGACCTCAGTCATGATGCACCTAGCATGCTACTAGGCACTATGTTAGACCATGTTGGGAACCATGGCAAGCCAGAGCCTTGTAACTATGGTTACACTAGTGACCACCAGTTATCCTGGTGTGGTTGCACCACAGGCATATACAGCCAGATGATGGCTGGCCTTCTCACTGATATTACAGCGCTCAATGCAGGCCAAAAGTGCAGTGATCTTTCTTTGGATCCCAAAAGGATGAATGTCTCCCAGGCTTACTCATCGATGAATGTGGTGAATCTCCATGGCCCACTTGGAAGTAGGGATGTAAAATCTCATTTAATTGGCTAACTGGTTAAACATATTGTTTAACCGGTTAGCCAATTAAAAGGGGACAGAGGGCGGCCATGGCCCCCTCATGCACCGCTGGCAGGGGCTACTCCAGTGCAGTGAAAGCAGCCTCTGCCTGCAGCACAATCAGGGCCTCCTTGCTGCAAGACTGGAGCCACCCCCTACCCATTGTAGACAGGGAGCTGCTCCAGCCCCACCAGTTAACTGGTTAAACTTTCACATCCCTGTTCAAAAGTAGCCCATAGAAAAAAGGTGATACCCGACTTACAAACAAAATCCAAGACTGGTGAATGCTTCTGAATCCTCATATCTTTGTTTCACTCCTGCCTTTTGCCCAGCCAGGGTTCCTGCTTTGCAAATATGTCTAATTCCCACTTTGTGTACTGTGCCTGTTGGGACCCTTGGAATGTGAGAGGTAGAAGGCTAATAAAGACCAGGCCAGGATTATTGAATCAGAGAGCCAGGTAAGCAGAAGCAAATTGGAGGAAGAGGGAATTCCATTTTTCTGATTCTTTAACACCAGTTTCTTGCACTTACCTTTATTTGTGCTCCATTGGGAGGAGCTAAGTTTTATCTTTACTATATGTTTGAGAGAGTTTGTGTTTGTCCATCTATCCAGCTGTCTATGAGTCTGTTTCAAGAACTCGTAAATGGTAAGCGCTAGGACCACCAAATTTGGCAGGCAGCTTCTTCTCATCAGACCTTAAAGCCAGATCAGGACTTGGCTATGCCAGGACAAGGGGATGTGCCTGGAATGTGATTGTCTCTCATAAAATGGAAAGGAGGGGTCTGCTAGAAAGGCCCACTTTACCACAGGGAGGCAGCAAGGGGCCAGAGATGGGGACTGAGACAGCTATCATGCCAGTGGGGCAAAGCTGGAGAAAGGGACAGCTCTCTACTATATATTTGAGAGAGTTTGTTCATCATGTATCTGTCTTCCAGCCAGGATGTCCTTCCCCCGGCTGCACCCACTGCAGCGGCCATGGAGAGGCATTTCTTACCTGGCCCCAAGTGAGAGAGGGGGCTGGGAGTTGACCTCTCTCCCCAGCCCCACCCCAGAGCAATGATTTTAAATGAAGAGAAACAAAAATTATTTGAGTTAAGGACCCGAGCAATGCCGGATAACTCTTAAAGCTACAGGTAACTTATGTGCATACTGATTTTTACACAAGCATCGTGTGACATTTTGGGTTGTATACACCTTTCCAAGTGTATTTTACCCAGATGCTATTGGCATTAGCCTTTAGTGCTGGTGTCAGGTGCTGTGTGCGTGTGTCATTTTTGTCCTGCTGCCGTGAAGTCCAGAGGGAAGAGATGGGACTAGAGGATTGCACCTCTGCAAGGCTCTTGTTTAGATACACAATGCCTTCTCTTAGCAGAATTCCAAGAGGCACAATCCAAGCCAAGTAACTGTAGACTTGCTGTAACATCTGAGTATAGAGTCAGGGCCAAAGGCTGCCCAGAATGGTGTCCAGTGCAACCATATTGAAGGCATTGTGACTGTAGCTGGGGTTTGGCAAGAATGCGGCCGGGCCCCAATATGAAGCAAGCTGGCTAAAGGGTTGCTGCCTTCAGAAAGTATGAATTGTTTTTGCTCCCCACAGGCTTTGCTGACATGGTTATATAAGCCCAGTTTGTGTCACATAAATATGTCTAAATGCTATTCGTATTTTTAAATCAGGTCCTCCTCACTGGGCATGATCTTGAAAAACCAAAACAGTTTCCTGTTTGCACTGAAACCTCCCAGCACATCAAAGTGAGTATTTGCTTTTAGCGAAACAACGCAGGAGGGGCTTCAGCGGGCTGTGACATGAATGGCTTTCCAGCATGGGCCAGTGATGAGCTGTGGTGTGTGGCAGAAAGCAGATCACTCTTCCTAGTACAGGCAGTCCATACTTGATGTAATTCCATTTATACAAATGGAAGGGGATCACAGAAGAATAATTTTATGAACATTGTTCTCGTGGACAGATTTTCTTGCCACTGAAGTCATCTTTCTAACACTTTTTTTAATCATGAAGCCATGTTCAAATGACTGTTTAAATTTGAAAAGATTAAGAGATTTGGTGGCAGGTCTTTTACACAAAGAAAAACCAGGCACATTATAGACAGTTATTACAATTTGTTATCTACAGGAAATTATTTATAAAATGTGGTTCTACGGTGGTTGATTATATGACTGTCTCCAAACTTCATTTTAAACTTTATCTATCCTTACCCAGAGAGAACATGCAATAAGTATGTAGTTTAATTATTACAGTAACTCTAAGTTCCCTTGAATTGGTAAATGAATTGGACACTTCACATTATTATAAAGTAGTTGTTTTCTAGATTGATTTCTTCCCTTTTAAATGTTAGATAATATTAAACCCAGAATACAGGAGACTATCCTTTCAGTGTCTTCTTGCAATTTCCTCATATTAAATAACAGCTATTAGCAAAAATTTACAGTTAGGTACTTCATAAAAGGACTCAGGATAAATATAAAATTGTTCTTCTCTAAAGTTAAGTTTCCACTATGAAGGTACAGGCAGTCCCCGGGTTACATGGATCCGACTTACATCGGATCCCTACTTACAAACAGGGTGAGGCAACCCCGCACTAGCTGCTTCCCCCCAGCAGACCAGGGAGACGCGGAGCGGCTTTTCTCAGCAGACACCTCATCTTGAGAATAAAGGACTGAGGGAAGTGAGGTGTGGGAGAATAAAACTGAGCTCTGGAGAAATGTTTGGCTAGTGTTTCCCCTACAATATGTACCAGTTCCAACTTACATACAAATTCAACTTAAGAACAAACCTACAGTCCCTATCTTGTACGTAACCCGGGGACTGCCTGTAGACTTAAGACTTCACATCCCTAACTGCCCAGTGGTACTGAGGTTGTGGTAATTTACCCATGAAGCGCTAAAGCCTCCATGGCATAGAGTCTGACCAGTGAACACATGTGATGGAAACCACGTTTGCTGCACCATCTCCTGCCTTCTGCTTTGGGTTGTCACCATTTTTAAAAAAGAAACAACAAAGTGGCACCTGGACACACAAGCTAAAACCAAGAACGTCCAGATGAAAACCAGACAGACAGCAACCCTCCCAGACACATAAGCCAAACCCCAGACTCTCTGGCTGAAAACCAGATGGGCAGCAACCCTAGCTGAGTGGTGGTACCTGCCTGGTACAGAGCGCCAATAGCTCAGGGAATGTGGCTGGTGTTGTACATACATGTATGATATGGGATGAACAAAATCTCTAGAATCAGGTAAAAGTAATAACATACAGGGCTCACAACAGCTCTCGGGGAAACTGGTTGGCAAGCTCAGTATTGCTGTGCTCGTGCACCACTACGATCCCTTTGTGGTTAAGCTCTTCACCCCCGTTATCATCCATATAAAGGAGCATCAGGCAATGAGGGTTAATCCTCTAGCTAAGACCCATCAGGGACACCTTCTCAGCTGTTCCTGGAGGCTGCTAGTGGCTTCTGTTTGTACAATGCCAGACAAACTCCTCATCTTCCGTGGAGTGAGCGTGGTAACTTTCTGCACTGCACTATTTTAAGGCACGCTCCCCGCCCCCGTCCCTCTGCCCTTGCAAACTCGGTGACTCTCCTGTGGTATTATTCTGGCTTGTGTCTATACTCCAGAGACCAGTGACTCTCCGCCTGTGGCCCTCCAAGCAGGTTGATTTAAGAGGAAGGTGATTCATGAGTGTGCTTGTTTTCCCTCTCTGGTCTTGCCTAGGAGCTCACATGCTCATTGTGTTCTACCTGGTCCTGGGAAGAAGCCCCGTGGAATGTAAAAACCTCTGCCCATAGCACTTCTCTGGGAATGACCCTGGAAACTTTTGAAGCTCTGTGGGAAATTGCACAGAGACATCTGGGAAGGCGCAGTGGTGAGATTCTGGCTGGGAGCTCAAGCTATGTGGATGACAGTGGCTAGCTAGCGCTATCCCTAGTCAGCACATGCAGCCAGCTTCAGTTTTGCAGTCTCCACTCCTGGGGCAGCCCTCATCTGAGGTTGCCCGTTATGCCTCAATCTGCTGCTATTGTAAAAATGCCCCGTTGAGAACTCCAGCAGCTTTGTCTCGCGTGCGGTAACTGAGTGAGGTTGGCAGGTACAGCCATGAGCTGATTGCCAGGGTCACTGCCAGAGAGTTACCATGTTTCTTGAGCCTTGCCCTGGCTGTCGGGTGCCCCTAGCTGCTTTCTTAATGCTGTTCATCATTTCTCTAGAGTAACAATTTAGTGTCCAGCCTCATCCCCCACAGAATGCTTCTGGCAGTAGCAAAATGTGGCTTAAGTGCCTATGGGGCTGCGCGCTGCAGCGTTCAATGTGAGGCCTGTCTGTCTGTCCAGGTGGGGGCAGGTCTGGCAGAGAATGCAGGATAGAAGCTGTGGAATGAAGCTTTCTCTGTCCTGGACACTGTTTCTTCTGTTTTCTTTCATCTAAAATACATGGCCCAGTCCAGGGTGGGAACCTTTTTTGAGTGGGCGGGAGGGGCACTGACACTCAGAAAAATCAGCACAAAAAACCCTCACTGATGTGGCGCCCAACTAAGGAGGAGCTAGACTCGCTCCACATTCCCCTTGCACACCAGAGCCTGGGGAGGCCCAGCCTAGCAGATTTTGTGTGCTCCAGCCCTGTGGTGGGGCAGCAGGGGGGCTGGAGTGCCAGCACGGCTCCCCAGTGCTGCGGGAGGCCCTCAGCCTCAGGGACCGGATCCAGGCGAGCTGCAGGCTCCTTGCAGGAGGACTAACGGGAGTTCGAATTAGCAGCTTTAAGTCGAACTACCTAGTCCATGCCGCATGTAGCCGTGGACAGGTAGTTCGAACTACGGGACATTTAAAAATGGCGGCGCCTGGGAACATGCAAATGAAGCCCGGGATATTTAAATCCCAGGCTTCATTTGCAAGTTTGAATGCCTACATTAGCCTCCCTAGTTCAAACTAGGATGGCAGTATAGACGTACCCGGAGTGTCCCTGGCTCTGATGTTTGAAGTGGAGCAATTTTAGTCCCTGAGCAACTCTGCTTGTTTGCAACTCTCTGAGGAGGCACTTTTCATTTGCAGAGGGATATTGCCCACCAGAAAATGTGGCTATCAACTACGAAGCAGAGAACCCCCTGACGTGAGTAGAACAGGCGAAAGGAATCATTGCTGCTGTAGAATGCTAACAAGACTTTCTTCTTCCAGTGATTGCGCATGTGCCTTCTGCCCTTGGCGTGCCCATGCCTCGCACACAGCACTCAGAAGTGTTTTCATTAGCCGTGTTCATCAGGGTAGCTTGAGAACCTTCTGCTGCCTCCCACCACTTGTAGAGTTATAAAGGGCCCAGCTTCCTGCGAGTCCCCTCCGTTCTGTCTAAGTCCCCGTGCAAATCATTGGAATCCTGTCTCTTGTCTTAGACAGTGCTCTTGGTATGTTCATTATCAATTATTTCTAGGTAACTTTCTAGACTCAGTACTTAGTGTGAGTTCTCATTTTTGGCCCCTGTTGGTTTTTTTAACCATTATGTGGTGCCAAAGGATGTCTTGGTCATTGGACCTCAAGCCCCGCAAATGCTTATTGGCTAGTCGACAGGACTTCAAAGCAGCAGTGCCACTTGAAGCCTGGGGCAAGACCCCGGGCTCCATGCAGTGTTGCTGCTTTGAAATGCCATGTGCAGCCCTGGGCCAGCTGAGGTGCCCCCAGGCTGCATGTGGCACATGGAGCCCAGGATCAGCTGGGGACTCCCTTGCTGAGTCTGGGCTCTGTGCAGTGCTGCCGCTTTAAAACACTGCGGGGAGCCCAGCGTCAGATTCCTCGTGGTGTTTCAAACAGGCAGCACCATGTGGAGCCTGGGATCAGCTGACCCCAGGCTCCATGCAGCGCTTTCGCCTTTGAAGGGTAACAAGAGCCCTAGGGCTGTTGCTACACTTCAAAGGTGGCACGGCCCTATCGACTAATCGAATAGTCGATGCAAAATGCATCGACTATTTGCTTAGTCAGTTAGTCCATACTTAACACCCTTAACCCTTGGCACGTCAAAAGCTGGAGCGCCAACCCCTCTCTCCTGAACAAACTTCCACTTGGCTTATTAGCATTCTGCCCGACTTCCCCATGCAGTTAATCTGGGCAAGAAATTCTTTCCTTCCTGTCCTCTACACTGAGAGCCTACTGGAGGCACCAGGTCAGCAGCAAACTTAAGCCAATTGTAGCTGCCTGGCTCCTAGATGCAGAGATGCTGTGTGTGGTGAATGCTGGCCTGGGAGGTGATGAGTTATCTTGCTTCACTGCTGTGAAAATAACTGGAGGCCCTGTTGCAGGAATGTGTGGGCTGCCCTTGATCTGTGGGCTGAGCATAAAACACAAAAGTAATAGCATGGTGCAGATCTTGGATTCTACTGGATTTTGGGGACTGGTCCTTGGGCAGGGGAATCCCATTTTTTCAGAGAATACTTGAGAACGGGCAATAATTTTTGACAAGGGGCCACGCCAAGATTTTGGTTGTGGTCAAGGGCTGCACTTTTCCATGATATGAATGGAGGAGATGCAGGGTCTGAGATGGAGGTTGGGTGCAGAAGGGAGAATGGAGTCTGGGAGGGAGTTTGGGTGAAGGAGGATCTGGGGCAGGAGATTGGGGTGCCAAATCTGGGAGGGAGTATGGGTGCAAGAGGCAGGCAGAGGGTTTGGGTATGTTGATGGGGGTGGAAGAGGGTTGGGGCAGGGAGGGGCTGAGGTGCCAGAGGTAGGCTCTGGCCAAGAGACTTACCAGCCAGCAGCCAAGCCTGCCTGCCTGCAGCGCTAAGGCTTGCAGAGCTTAAAATGTTTCCCAGCCACCCAGCCTGCCTACCCGGCCATGTGCTTGTGTGTGGTTCTTCTTGGCTGCCTGTTATTCAAACAGGCAGCTCCCATTGGCTGGTTTCTGGCCAGAAACCAGCCAATGGGATTGTGCTGGGGTCAGGGGCAGCTCCTGAAGCTTTCCTCCATCTCCTCCAGTTTTGAAGTAGCCACATTTCTGAGCGGCATGTGAGGCAAGCAGTGGAGCCTACCTGGGGCTCACTGCTGCCGCCGCGTGCTACATCCGACCCAGGCCTGCTTTAGAAACCTCTCTGAGCAGTTTCAGAGTGAGCGAGAGCCTTTGAATGGATTTAGGGTTCTAGACCCTGGGTTTCCTGGGCTGACTATCTTCTCTTTTGGCCCCCAGGCTTCAGGAGAGTTCATAGAAATCTCACCTGGCTACACCCTAACTCGGAGTAAAGAACATCTCTCCGTCACACTCGGGGAGGAATTTTTTGAAAGAAAAGTAACTACTGACAAACCAGCCCCCCCTTTTGTTCCCAGGTAAACTTAGCAAATGAGTTAAATGGCACAAAAGGTTGTTGACTCTTAAACTGGTCTTGGTTCTCTCTTCTCCCCCTTTGCCCCCACATAATTGTGTTTGGGGAAGCTGTGAATGCTTGAAAGAGGGAGATGACCCTCATGAGCACATGCTACCGAGGGGTCAGAAAATGGGAGAACCCCAGGCTGGCGTGAAAGGATCATTCAGGTCCAAACTGAAGATCCTCAACGTGTAGAAGCAGCAATTTCTGTAGGTGAAGGAAGTGTAACTTGAGTGCACCTGCCCAGAGTGTGTTCATAGCTCTCTGCTTTCAGGCAAAATACAAGATGAATAAATGCTTTGTTTCTGATTTTTGCCTTGAAATGCCTTCTCATCAAGCATTCCCATCCACTCCATTGGCTATTTTGAGCACCCACCAGCAAGGATTTAGTGGATGCTGAGGCTGAAGAGTCTCAGTGCTAGAACAATTATAGGGTTTTGGGTGCTGTAGGGCATCCTGCATTATGGAGGAGTCGCTAATGGAATAAACGTTAGAAGACACTTAATAATGATCCACCTCTTAGATGCAGTCAGCTTTTCGCTTTGCAACAAACTCATGTCACCTGCTCTAATTCCACCTGCAGAAGTTTGAGAGTGCACATTTAATCTTTCCATCTCTTTGCAGAAGCCCAGTGAAACTTGAGACGTGAGTATTGCTTGCTTTCTCTTTTGGGTCCAATCAAAACTTGTAAACTTTATGTACATAGTTTGCTGCTTCCTTCTCACCACAAGCTTCAAGAACTTGGTTTTGTCCCTTACTCTGAATGCTGCTTCTTGGCTGACCAGTGACAGCAAGAGGTGCTGTAATGTACAGTGGCTCCTTCACGTCCTTTCGTCTTGCAGATGCCACACTGTTGTCCCACTGTTTTGTTTTATGTTGAGGGCTAGAAACTAACTCTAAAGTTTAGCTCTCCTAAGGAAAGCAGATGTTAAGGTAAGAAAATGGGCTATGTCTCTACTGGTGCGTTCTTCTGCAAAAACTCTTCCAGAAGAGAGCGTCTACACTGGCATGTGCTTTTGCACAAGAGCATCCGTGCCAGTGTAGACGCTCTCTTGTGCAAGAAAGCGCCGATGGCCATTTTAACCATCGGGCTTTCTTGCACAATAAATTCATGTTGCCTGTCTACACTGGCCTCTTGCGCAAGAACAGTTGCGCAAAAGGGCTTATTCCTGAGTGGGAGTGTCAGAGTTCTGGTGCAAGAAGCCCTGATTTCATACATTAGCACGTCAGTTTACTTGCGCAAGAACACGCGGCCAGTGTAGACAGGCAGCAAGTTTTTGCGCAAGAGCGGCTGCTTTTGCGCAAGATCGCACCAATGTAGACACAGCCAAGGTGTATAGTTAGGTCTTGTTTGGGCCTTCGCCATTTATAGTGAGTGAATACACTTTGTAAACTCCTGTGACATAAAGTTCCCTCTGGTGAAAAGAAAATCTGGAGTCCACTACCCCTTAACTTTGTTTAATTTGGATTTGAATGTTGTTTCCTGGGCCTGTCGCAGATGCTAGTACTTGAATCATGTGGTTGGAAGAGACCTCAGGATGTCATCAAGTCCAACCCTCTGCTAAAAGCAGGACCAGGCCAGCTAAAGCAAATGTTGCAGCCCATTAAAATGTCCAAGTATTCTATTTAATAATTTGATCATTAAGTTTGAGCTATTTCTTAATGTTCTCGTCCCTTCTATCGGGAGTGCTCTCATGGCCTCACTGCCCCAGGCTGGGGCCACGTGGAGGGTTGCCAGCTCTCCCACCACTGCCCCACAGGGTGCCTGGCCCGGGAAACTTGGCAGGCCTCGTCAGAGCTGAAGGCGCTGCAGAGCCCCGGGTGGCAGCGGGACCCTCAAGTCGCAGCGGAGGCTCCAGGGCCAGGGGCCCAGACCCTGGGGACCATGGACTATAGGGACAGGGGCACCATGTCTGGGGGGCTGCAGCCATGTGTTCCGGGGGGCTGCTCGCTCTTGTTCCCATTCCCCTTCCAAATAGGGAGCGATGGGAAAGCCCCCCCCCCCCCCCCCCCCTCCTTTCCCCTCCCCTCCCCTCCGCAGCAGCCTGTGCACTTTCCCCTCGCTCCCTGAGAGTCAGGGCAAAGGGAGAAAGAGCAAGCAGCTTCCTGGTATGCGCAACTACAGCCCCCCCACACCACCTTCCTGCAAAGGCGCCCTCACCAAGGACAGCAGGCGCAGGACCCTCGGGAATGGTGGGGCCGGTGGGACCCGGAATTGGACTGGCCAGGACACTGGCAAACCCTACTTTGCAGCCAGGGACGGGTTCGCGTAGTGATATTTCTTCAGTGCCTACTACTGCTCCTGTCCAAACACCAGTGTCCCCGCCATGACAGAGAGATGATGTCTCTCGGCAGGGAAGATGTTATTACCGACTTAGAGGAGCAGATTGCTGAGCTGTCCGATATGATGGAGCAACTGCGCAGAGATCACCAGGCCTCCCGCAAATTGGTGAGTTCACCCTGTCGCCGTCTTTCCCTGCTTCTCAGGAAGTGCTCTTTGTAGTCCCACAGTCAGAGGACGTCGACCTGCAAGGGACTGACTAAACCATACAGCACTGCCCGGAGCCTTTTAGTGCCATTGTTACTGCTGAGGGAATGAGGCGCCAAAAATGAAAAATGCTGGGCACAATGTTGTAAAATTCAGCATCGTTTGTGTTAAAACAACAGGGAATAATCAGCCCAGTTCTAACTATTTTAGTAACTTATTTCAAAGTGCCTGTTGTTTTACAAATTACCAGGCCTAGCGATACAAAACCTTGAGTAATAATTAATGTAAACTGCAAAAGAGCACTATATTTCTCCCACCACTCAGCAGCTGTGCAAAGGTTTGAGGAGTCGGGGTAATGGCAGAAATGAGAGAGGGGGAAGTAACTGTGGGAAAGGATCCTGGATGTGAACTTGGAGGGCTGTTGGGTGTGGGTGGGAGAAGTATGGATCGTTTTTTTAGGGGGAGAGGGACAGGGAGAGATTGTTAGGGAGCGTCCCCCATGCAGACCCTAGCTGGCCCCCAGCCTTGCCAACGCAGTCCCCTGTATCTCTGCATTCCAGTGCCCATGTGTCTTTTCTGTTCCCACTGAACCCGCACCTTTCTTCCGCTCTGATAAAAGCAATTATCAGAGGGGTAGCCGTGTTAGTCTGAATCTGCAAAAGTGACGAGGAGTCCTGTGCCAACAATGCCCCACTGCTATATACATCGGCCAAACTGGACAGTCCCTACGTAAAAGAATCAATGGACACAAATCTGATATTAGGAATGGCAACATACAAAAACCTGTAGGGGAACACTTCAATCTTCCTGGACACACAATTGCAGATCTAAAAGTAGCCATACTGCAGCAAAAAAACTTCAGGACCAGAGGTCAAAGAGAAACTGCTGAGCTACAGTTCATCTTTAAGTTTGACACAATCAACTCTGGATTAAACAAAGACTGTGAATGGCTTGCTAACTACAAAAGCAGCTCCTGCTCTCTTGGAATTCACACCTCCAGATCAGCTGCTAGAAGTGGGCCTCATCCTCCTTGATTGGATCCACCTCGTCATCTCCAGCCTGATCCTGGCCTGCATATTTATACCTGCCTCTGGAAATTTCCACTACATGCATCTGACAAAGTGGGTCTTTGCCCACGAAAGCTTATGCTCCTACACTTCAGTTAGTCTACAAGGTGCCACAGGACTCCTCGTCGCTTCTGATAGAAGCTTTTGCTCTGATTGGCACCGGCTTGGGTAAATGAAGAAATCTCTTCATAACCAGCCTAGGATGGAAAACATTTCTGAGCCCACTGTGGACAGAGATTTTAGACTCCTGACTGGAATCATGTCTGACTGGAACAGATATTTTCTCACAAATAAATGGCCAGGTAAAGAGGTTTATACCTTAGTACAAACTTGTTCCCTTTTCTTTTAAGCTGGAGAAAGATATGGAAGAAAAATGCAATGAGATGCGACAGGAGCACGGGAATAAGATCAGGTACAGCTGCTGTGCTTTGTAAGGGGAACGCACCCATGTGAACTGCATGCTGGATACCACACATTATACATCTTGTGTGGTTTTGACTGTTAAAAATAAGGGTCAACCTAGCAATATGTCTTCTATAAAATGAGCTGAGTTTGCAATTGATGCAGTATGATTTCTGTACCAGAATTATTATTGGGGTATGTGGAAAAATGTTGAAACTTTAATTATGAGGAGTCCGATTTGGGGCATCCAAATACTAGAATCCTAGAACCGGAAGGAACCTCAAGAAGTCATCAAGTCCGGTCTCCTCCTTTGTGTCCAGTGGCTTTCATTCCAGACCAGAGTTAGACTCACTTTATGGTCCTGAATACCATGAGAGCAGCAGTATCATGAAGGCAGCTGTACTATGGCTAGTAAAAAATAGTGTGAGATTTGATATCCTCATCGTATTTCCATCATCCATAGGACAAAATGTGATGTGAAGAGCTGTTCTTGTGGGATTCTGGGCTGGAAACTTTCATGGGAGGATGTAGCTGCGTGTCTGCCCGTGACTCTGTGTTTTCCTTTGCTGACTAGTGTAATTTTGACTTTGTGTTATGTGTAGGACATCTGTGTTTGTTTCATGCCCCTGACTAGCCCAGACATTTAAGGCATGCTGCCTTCAGCTGGTGAAGTGCCATCTCCATATTGTTTGTCTCTGAACTTACAGCATGACTTGTTGAACGAGTGGTGACCAAAGAAGAAAGAATAGAGCCAGCTTGGCACAACTGTGTCTCTCCCTGATAGGAGAGATCCAGGTGGCCAGCAGAACCTTTTGGTCCAGTGTGCTCTCCCTCCTCTACCCAGCTAGGAAGTCCGTACGGGAAACGATCCATCTCCATTTTATATTCGGTTTCCTCCTCAGTGTGGTATCAATGGACAGCGATGATCTCATCAGCCTGGGAAAGGTTATTGAGAAGGTGTAGAGATGGGCTGACTCTAGCAACACCTGACTTCCTCCAGCATCCCCACAGGCTGGAAACGCTGACTGCTCAGACAGGAAAATACACATTTGAAACAACTATCAAAACTGACTTTAGACACCCCACGCACAGCATCACTATGTTCTGCTCGTATCGATTGCCTCATTAGAAACGAACGCACTCGAAAGAGAGAGTGCAGAATGAAAGAGCAAACATAGGGCCATGAGCAGATACAATAAGGTAAATGATTGGCTAGGATATGCCCAGCACAAACAAAATAGATGACTCTGAGATGCCATAAAACTTATACCAGTTACTGGTTTAGGAGGAGCTGCATGACACCTCTGCTTATTAAATTACACCCCAAGTTACTTGTTTTCCACACACAAAGAACAACCCCGTACATTCAGCCTGGTTGACTTTTATTTTAAAATCTGTGTGGGGGGGGGGGCCCAAAACGAGAAAACAAAAGTCAAGTCTCCAGCATGACCACCATGTGTGACTCCTGAGGCAATCCGCCTCTGAACGGAGCGCAAAATATCAGCCACCTCCTGTAGATTCCTAGAAATTTTGAAAGCAAAGTACACAGAAAAAAAATGTACCCAGTTACCTTCACCTGGCCATTCACCTTCTGTGATTATTCCATCGCTGTGAATGGTCCAGTGGCTGGAAGAGAGAGAAGTGGGCTCTAGGGACGGCTGCACTGACGTGGTTTGCGCGTGTGTCGATCACACAGGGAACTCCAAGAAGCTCACCGTGCAGAGCTCCAGGCATTGCAAGAGTTCTACAAGAAGGAACTGAAGACTGAGAGGGCCACTGCACAGGAGAAAATGGGTATGCACAGACCCTGTGGGAAACCCTTCCTCACGCAATACCGATCCCTGTTGTTTTCCTGGTTACTCTGAGCTGGGAACTCCTGCCAGGTTCTTTCCCTCTCTAGCGGTTTCCCAGCAGCAGACTCGCTTTGGAAGCCTCCCGCCCGCCCCCTTTGGTACTGAAAGCAAAGAGGGTTCTGAGCCACGATGGTCAATATTACGTTGGAGAAGAGGGGAAGTTGGGAAGGAAGTTGCCTGGGGACTGGCAGCATGTCATTCCTGTAAACGCTTGTGTTGTGCGGGCGTTCTCGATGGACTGTGGCAGGCCTGGTCAGATCTGAATTGGGTTTAGACTGGAGTCTGTGTTTTGAGGCTGAATTGAAGCTCCTGTTGAGATTATGCCAAAGTCTCCTGCAGTTCTTGAGAGAGTCCACAATGGCAGCTCAACACATTTCTTGACCAATGCTCAGTTTTCCAAACAGATACTGGTTTCGGGGGAAGGCTGCCCAGACAATTTCATCAGCTAGACCTTCCATTGTGTGCTGGGCGCCTGGGAAAGATTTTCTTCATTTCTGTTTACCAATGAGTGTAGTGCAGCTATTTATTTAATGTTCAGTGCCATTGGATGCTCACAAAAGTCACTGAGAGAATTGTCTTTAGGCAACTATAGGGCCAGCAACCTGCCCCAGCACAATTCAGTTCCCTTCCAATTCTGAGTCTCCTTTAAAACAAAGCAGTTAATTTCTTCTCTCTCAGTCCCATGCCATGTGGTGGAGTCTATGGCATGTACCTGTACGGGCTGCACTGAGGTGCCTACCCCACTTTCGTGTTACCTATCCAGGATGTGAGTCCAAATCCCCATTCATGTGAAAATTGCTGGATTACCGATGCATCTTTATCCTTCTCTTGTTGCTCAGAGGGGATGCAGAAGGAGTACAAGTACCTGAAGAACGCTTTCCGAATGTACCAGGTGAGATTTGAGCAACCCTGCAGCAATCACCAAAGGTGGAGCGGGTCCTGTTAGTCTAATGCTCAGGGCTTGGCTACGCTACCGCCTAAGTCGACCTAACTTATGTTGCCATGAGAAGGCCTCCTCCCCAGCAACACAAGTTGCAGCAACCTAAGTGCCGACCACTCTGGTGTTGTGTCAGCAGGAGACGCTCTCCCTGCGGACGTGGCTTGGTGGAAATGGTGTAATTATGCAATGGAAAAGCGCTCTCCTGTGGCATTTCACATCTTCACCAGACACACTACACTGGCACAAGTGTACTGGGACAGCTGCCCTCCAGTGCGACAACTCTTAATTTCATAGGAAGGTCCTGGAGTGAGCACCCTCATCACATTCACCCCTCATCCCCATAGGCCCACAGGGTCCCACATATGCTGGATTCAGGTTGTTCAGATCTTTCAGAACTGTTTCAGGCTAATACACTGTTACCTCAGTTCACATTCAGAAGGCTAACTTCTCGACTTCTCAAGAAGATTTTAATTTTTTCCCCCTTCTTTCCCCTCCTCTTCCCTGCATCCCCTATTTATATTGAAACTGGACCTTTAATAAGTCCATTCATCAGAAGAAATGGGTTGTGCCCACGAAAGCTCATGATACCATCTACATATTTTGTTAGTCTCTAAGGTGCTGCAAGACTATTCATTGTATTTTAAGTTTGTCCAGTTACAAACTAACTTGACTACCCTTCTGAAGTTTCTCAACATAAAGCTTTGAATCACAGAATCATAGAATCCCAGGGCTGGAAGAGACGTCAGGAAGTCATTGAGTCCAGCCCCCTGCCCAAATCAGGACCAACTCTAACTAAATCATCCCACTCACAACTTTGTCAAACTGGGACTTAAAAGCCTGTAGGGATGGAGATTCTACTACCTCCCTAGGTAACACATACCAGTGCTTCACCACCCTCCTAGTGAAATAGTTTTTTCTAATATCCAATCTAGACCTCCCCCTCTGTAATTTAAGACTATTGCTTCTTGTTTTGTCATCTGTCACTACTGAGAATAACCTCTCTTAAATTGTGAGTAATTGACTAATCAAATAGTTGATGTATTTTGCATTGACTATTCAATTATTTGATAGGGCGCTTCCGCTTTTGAAGGGGTGTTGCTACACTTCAAAGGCAAAAGCTCCGTGTGGACCCCAGAGTCAGCTGGAGACCCCAGAGTCAGCTGCTTTGAAATGTCGCAGAGAGCCCAACATGAGGCTCCACAAGGCGTTTCCAGGCAGCAGCGCTGCACGGAGCCTGGGGTTAGCAGGCGAGTCCTCAGCTGATCCTGGGCTCCACGCGGTGCTGCCACTTTAAAATGCCACATTCAGCCCGGGGACATTTCAAAGTGGCAGCACCACGTGAAGCTCGGGGTCTGGCCCCAGACTCCATGAGGTGCTGCCGCTTTGAAGTATCCCCTCCTCTTCCCATCCCCCTTGCTGCCTCTTTCTGACAGAAGTAGTTGGGGGGGAGGGGAGGAAGCAAGTAGTAGAATAGTCAACTAGTCCTTCACATCCCTACAGAGAACAACTTAGCTCCATCCTCTTTGAAACTCACTTTAGGTCATCTTTTGGGAAACTATAAAGGGTACATTTGGCTTTTTTTTTTTTTTTTTTTAAAAAACTTT